TTTATTATCAATTTAGAATTTATTTATTTATATTGAATATGAATCATTCATTTTGTTACAATCATTTTTTGAAATATAATAAAAATAAGTTTATAAAGATAAATAAGACAAAGATAAAAACTAAAAAAAATCTTTATTTTATTTTTCTAATTATAAATTTTACGATCTTTTAGTATGTAGAAAAGAGATCAATGAAAATAATATATATATATATATATATATAATTAATAAATAAGTGTGATTTAAAATAATAAATGATTGATATTTCTTATTTCTTAATAATCCAATTCCAATATAGTATAAAATGTTATTTAAAAAATATTTGAGAATTAATTAAGATGAAATTGAAATTATAACATCTCGTTTCTTGAAAAATAAATAATGAATAATTTAGAATAACTAGAGTATAATATAAGAGAATATTTTTATCAATAAAATAAAAGGAAATAAGTGAATTAGAGAATTTTGGGCTAGATTATAGTCCAACCCAAAGGCTAATTAAAAAGAAATAAGGGAGGAAATTAGGTCATTAGTGCCTTAAAAAAAATCTTAAATTCACAATATAAAAATAAAAAGAAAAATTCATAGTAAAAAAAATAAAATAATTGTTGAGTCATAAAAGGAGGGATAAGAGTAACAAATTCAAGGGAATGAGAGAGTTCGCAGTTTTTATGCTGAGAGGGTTCTTCCCCCAACTAAGATCCATTTTCATCTCATTCTACTCACAGAAACCCTAACAAATTCATCTTATATATATATATTTATATATATATATATATTTAGAGATTATGATATCAATTTCATCTTTCACCTTTTTTTTCTTCTTGACGTATGTTATAAAAAAAATTACCACTTAAAAGTTGAAATTTCAAGCATTTTTTTTGTTATATAAAGGAACAAATTCAACTACATAGAATAAAATAAAGCAAGTCAATTAAAGAGAACGAACAGAAAAATAGAGCAAGTCAATGACACTATCATTTACATATCAGAGTTTCACAAAATAGGAGAATGGGATGAGAACAGTACTACAATATTATATATGAGCAATGAATAATAGTATAGTATTATTAGTAGAGAAAAAATGGAGAAGACAGGAGCATAGAAAAAAAAAGATGAAAAACCCACTTGAAAATTATTGTAACACTTGAAAAATCACTTCAAAGAATCCTTCAAAATCCGTTGGGTTTGGATGGGATTGTTTTATGAATCTGGTATTTATAGATAACACTAGAAAGTCCTTCAAAATCCCTCTCACACAACAATCCTTTAAAATCCTTATATTTTTTAATACCAATGGATTGTTTTTAAGTTGTAAAAAATCTCAAATGAATACCAGTGGATTTTAATGGACTCTTTAAAAAATCTTGAAAATCCAGATTGAATACCACTGGATTGGTTTTAAGTGACATAAAATCCTGATTGAATACCAATGGACTTTTTTACTCAAAAAAAGTCTTTTAAAATCCTACGAAATCCTAAACCAATACACCCCCCTTAAGTTATGATTTCAATGGATTTTGCGGGATTTTGTGAATTTTGCAAAATTTTGTAGATTTTTAACATACGATAAGAAATCAAGATTTTTTTTTACACATTCAAATTTAAAAATAGTCAAAGACAAAAATAATATAAAAAAAAATAACAATGTCTGGATAAATAATATTAATACTAGTTCCCCGTAATATCATATCCTTCTAAATAACTATATTAGTCCTCCAAGCATTAGCATATTTTCGCTCTTGCTCCTGAGCTTTAATAATAGGCTCAAAATTATGATTTTATTAACTGGTAATGTTGAAGATGAAGGTTTGTCCACCACTCCAATTAGAAATTCATCAAAATGACATTCTTTACGAAGAAAGTCATGTAGTTTTGCACATGCTAAAAATTATTTTAAACAACGTTTCAAATTTTTTATAATTTATGGTTTAAAATATTTTATTTATAAATTTATAAATGATTAAAAAAATAGTGGGACAGTTACCCTACTCTCTTATAACTAAATATGTCCCTTCATTTTATTTTGGTATTTGAGTGAAAGTTTGTCTTTCATACACTTTTATTCATTTAAAATATCTTAGAAATTTACAAATATCAACTAAGAGAAAAAAAATATCTAAAATTTGTTATAGGTACAAAATAATTTTTTTAAAATTTTTTAATTGCTTTCAATTATTCACTCATGAAGAAATATTTTTAATATTGAATTTTAAGATACTACAATGTCTTATGTCAATTTTTTTTTTTAAAATATAAAAAATCCTAATTTCACAATATAAAAATTTAAAATTTAAAATTCATAGTAAAAAAAGAAATAAAATAATTGTTGAGTCATAAAAGGGGAAGGATAATAGTAACAAATTCAAGAGAGAGATTGCAGTTTTTGTGCTAAAAGGGTTCTTCCCCTATTCTTATCTCATTTTACTCACATAAACCCTAACTCAAATTCATCTTTTATATATTTTTTTTGTTCTAATAAATCTAAATTTATTACAAGGTCTTGAAGATCTACAGTTGATTATAGAAATCATGATATCAATTTTAACTTTCACCTTTTTCCTTTTCTTGACGCGTGTTATAAAAAAAATTACTACTTAAAAGTTAAAATTTCAAGTGTTTTTTGTGTTATATAACTGAGGAACAATCTCAACTAAATAGAGCAAAATAAAGCACCCGAACCCGACCAAACCCACCCGTTGCTCACCCCTAATTTATACTGCTCACTAGGGCGTTTACCTTGTCCTTGAGAAAACTTGGGCCTAGAACAACTGTCTAATAGACAGTGTCTATCACTTTTTCTATTATATCACATATATCTACTCTTGATACTACACTAGCCTGCGGCTCTTGTTCATGGTTGATGTTGATCCTTCTTGGAGCATTGATTCATTTATACATATATAGCATATACTTTTTATTACTGCTCTATTAGTTTATCTACATGTTTTATAAATATTTGTGAAGATTTTTACATACTTCAAATTTAAACACAATCATTAAGAACATATTTGCATATAATCTAGAAGGACTTCCGACAGTGTTTCTATCGTAAATAACAAAACAACCATGGTTGTCAATCTCTAGTGATAACTCGTAAACTCGTACGAGTTTACGAGATTAGGACAGCATACCTGTATAACTCGAGAGTAAAATCATTTTTGAGTAATCTCGGAGTAATCTATGTGATCTCGTGTAATCTCGTGTAATATCGCGAGATCGGTCCCGAGTTTAAGAGATCACATTTTTTTTGTTCTCCACAAAACGTTTGTTTTGGTTAGGGCTGAAACATAGTAATCAATAGCAATTGTCACAACCACAATCGCAGCGCGTCGGAGCACAGCGGCTCTGTTGCAGAGCAGCCGCGAAAGCGGCTGAGCGTGGCGGCGCGATCACGGGTGGGTGACGAATCTTCTCTTCTTTTTCTAGCGGATCTTCGCCAATCTCTCTTCTCCGGCGAATCTCTGTCGATCTATCCTCTCTGACAATGGCTCTGTCTTCTCCGACATCTGCAGATCTGTCTTCTTCTAGGCAGCGACGACGGCTTGAGGAAGGGTTGCATTGCAAGAAAAATAATTAGGGTTGGAATATGGGCCAAATGGGCCAAGTTTTATTTTTTGTTTTGATTTGGTTAAGAGGGTTTTTACTTCATTATTTTTTTTAGAAAGTAATTTCTCTTTATTTTTTTTAGAAAGTAACCTCTCTTTATTAATTATTAATTATTATTATTATAATTTAGATAATATTTTAAGTAATACAAAATTTAATATAAGACCTTAAATATTTTGTTTTCTTAATTTTTTTATTTTGTTTAACTACTATAAATTTTTATTATTAAAAATATTTAATGTATAAATAGTTATATTTTTATTTTTATATGTATATTATTAATTATTTGTATTATAAATTATCTTATATATATATATATATATAAATTAGAATAGTGTAATCCTGCTATATTTAATAAATTATTTTATTATTAATATAATTTGTTATTTTACTCTTTAATATAAAGTTAAAATGTTTAATTATTATATAATTTTTAATTATTTTTATAATTTTGTTTATTGAGTAATCTCTTACGAATTTACGATACGAGTTTACGGAGTTTCCACGAGTTCACGTAAACTCTCGAGATTGACAACCTTGAGAACAACTCTTAAAAACGTTTATAGACTTGTATTCAAATATATTCTAATAAGATATCTCACTAATTACTTGTAAATCCAGTGGAGAAATTCTCTCAGCAAATGTACTAGCTGTACAAAACTAATCAAAGAACGAAATAATTTATTAGTGTTTGATATTGGATATGATTTTGTGTGTAGGCAACATTTAAGTCTTCAATTTTCTTATTGGCAGCACTTAAAATTGAAAGATGTTGGAGACTGTATTTAATGTAGCAATGTTCTATTTTTGCATCTATACTAATGAATGCTAAAATGATCTTCTGAATTTGAGGGTATATCAGCAGTATCAGCTATATTTTAGAGGATTTCCCTTACGAAATAGGCAAATGATACAACTGGAAAAAAGTTATTTCTGTTCCATTTTTTTTATTCATTTTACATGTTTGACAAAAAACTTGATATTTACTTAGTAGCCAGGAGTTGATTTTGTACCTAAAAACTTCAAAATCGCATTGAGAAAGCCTCAAGAGGTTGATGCTTCATTCCACAATTAGATGCCACTGAAATGCCAATATGCATGCTCAAAAACACATTAACATTAGATGCAGCTCAGACACTTCATTAACATACTTGCAGCTTTGAAGAACGCATTTCCTTGATGATTTCTTATACTTTTATGTGTCGATTCTAATGTATTAAGAGTTTGTTTAGATACAAATTAGAAGTGTTTTTAGAAACTTCTCTACTAAAAATAAAAAGTAATTCAAGCATACTCTAATACTAATTTGAGTAGTTTCCCCACACTCGGTACATATCATTCATCTGATCATATTTATCAAAACCAAGTATGCCACCTAACAATAAACACTGTTAACATTAAATCCTTGTATTTCCACATTCAAAGCAAATGAAGAACATTGAATAAATGATGAACTAGAAAATCATGTAGCAGAAGAGTCAAACTACATATTCTCCCCTCAAAAATACTCACAACATACCTTTCTAATACATTCTACCTATACAAATGAATCAAAATGTCAGTATAGTTCAATTTCATTTCCAAAGGATCAGGAACTTTCATTCCACTACCTATCCTGTTCCAAAATCTATAGAAACAAGTCACGCCATACACAAGATTCATCATCTCACATTACAGATAAGAAATAAACAAAAGCAAAAACTTAGCGTTTAGACAAGTCATTGATTGCTCTGTTGAAGAACCTCTGCTTCAGCCTGCGCCATGGGATCATCACGGATCTCAACTTCCTCTTCTTTCTCCCCCTCCCGCTGCTCCGCCACCTGCTTCCGGTGCAAGTCCTCCGCCGCCTGCATCGCCGCCCTATTCTCCGCCTCAATCCGCCGCATCTCCTCCTCCTGCTGCTGCCGCTCAAACCAGGTATCCGCATCCGCCCAAACTGAAACACACACCACGCAGTCACAATCACAAAACAAAGCACAAAACAATTATAACATTCGCGAGTTAGGGTTTCGAGAAAATGAAATTGAGAGAATATTAGGGTTTCGGACGCACTAGGTTGTGCTGCCCAGCCCTGCTCGCCGCCCTTGATGCGTTCGGGGAGGGCGTAGTTGACGGTGAGGACGCGGCCGTAGAGCTCGGCGCCGTCCATGTTGTCCATGGCGGAGGCGGCGTCGTCTCGCTCGAGGAAGGTGACGAAGCCGAAGGAGCGGTGCTTCTGCGTGGCCTGGTCCAACGGCGTCTTCACGTCCTTGATGTCGCCGAACGGAATGAACGCCGCGTGGAGGATCGACTCGTTCACCTCCTCCGCTAACCCTCCCACGTAAAGCGTGTTCTTCTGCACACCTTGCATCATCGCCATCGCTAGGGTTTCGAGGTCGAGAACGAAGAGAGAAGGTGTTAGCTTCACACTCTCGCTCTAAAACCTCTCTCTCTGGCTGGGCTAGTAGGCCCGTTGGCGTTCTTTCGGCCTCAACAGGCCCAATTATATTTCATAATCCAATAAAGAAAGATAGGAGATCCTGTTTACAATAGTATTTTTTTATTTATAAAAATTAGTTTTCATATATTATAAAAACTAGTATTTTAACATATTTATTACATATGATTAAAATTTATATTAAATTATGTATAAAATTAAATACTGTGTTTTGAATATGTAAATTATAATATAAATTTGTATGTTGCACTATCAACTTATTTTCTTGTTAAAAATAAGGCTAATTATTTAATAATACATCTATATTAAATAAAAATGAATTTGGGTAAATAAAATAAAAAGTGAGTGACATCAATATGTGGTATTGAATCAACATTGGTTATATATTTTTAAAATAAAATATATATTAAAATTAACGCTAATTATTTTTTACACAATTGTATTAATGAAATATGAATTTTGATGGAAAATAATAATTTTGTTTTGAAAAAAAAAAAAAAACAGTGACATGTGATGTTGAATCTACATTCCTTTCAATCAGACAGTTGCTAGTAAACTTCAGTCATTATTGACTAACAACACACAAACAAGTCACACACATGTGATGTCAAATTTAATTCATTACATGTTTGTATATATTTAGGAGATGTATTGGTTTAAGACTTTATAATTTTAAAAAAGTTTGTTAATATTTTATCAAGATTTTATGTTGCTTAAAAATAATTTAGTAGTATTTTATATTTTTCAAACGTGTGGTTCAGCGGTAGGGGTTGATTCACGCTTAAGCAAGGTCAGGGATTCGAATCCTGCCTTATGTATGCAGCCGCGTTAAATCTTAGGGTCAGCTATCCCACCCTTTAAGCCTGCCTTGTGTATGCAACCGCGTTAAATCTTAGGGCCAGCTATCCCATCCTTTAAGGTGCCTCTAACGTAGCGAGGAGATTAGTCACTGCTGTCGGCAGTGGATACTCCAGGGACAAACAAAAAAAAAATCTAGTGATTAGGATAATTAAAAATATGAGATGTAGATTTAATCTTGGTTACGATTATTTTTATAATATTTTTTATCTTAAAAAAAAAAAAAAAAAAAAAAAAAAAAAAAAACCTCGTGAGTGTGGGGATTGAAGAATCTAGTCGTGTAGCTGTCGCAACATGGTTCACTGGATCTCCAAGTGCTCCCATCCACAATCCTCTCATCTCATTTGGATATATATATATGGTTATGGACAAATCCAATTTTCTCTCTTCTTTTGTAATTTTATGTTTTCTACCCCTAACTCCTTGTTTTGTTCGTGGCAAATACAGGGAAACAAAAATACAAAATATGAAAGTGACATAAGATAAAGACATTTAATTTTTATTATTCGTTTTCAGAGAAAATAAGAAGAAAGAAGGTATTCAAATAAAATGAGAGGAAAATATATTTCTTTTTTCATTCATCTAAATAAGTGAAAAGGAATTCTCGCAGTTCCTATTTCTCTTTTTATTTTTATCCATTCAAACAACCTAACTTTTCTATTCTATTTCTCCTACAATTTTTTTATCATTTTTTAATATCTTTGAATGATCAGGTTGTTTGATAATGGATTCATATATTTACTATTTATAATTTTTATGATTATAATATTTTTTACATACATGATTTAATTATTCTTCTTCTAATTTAATAATTGTATTTTTAAATAAATTTAATAATCTATACTATTTTTATATTTTATTATTCATTTTAATTTTATTTTAATATATTTTTATTAAATAATAATTAAATATATAATAAAACTTTAATTATGTAAAACGCATAGTAATTTAACATTTTTTTCATTTATCGTCCATTTAAGTTTATATATATATATAAAAAGAATCATATATGTAAGTTTAATGATTAATTTTTTATCTCGTCAAAATACGATTACAATAATAATAATTTAATGACACCATTATAGTATTATCATGCGTAGGACAATAAAAGATAACAATATCATGTGTCACATTAGCATATTGTGACACATGATTTTTTAATTATGTCACATTAACATATTGTCATACCATTATCTTAAGGTGAAAAATGATTTTTTAAATTTAGAGTTTTAATATTAATAAATAAAATATTTTATAATGAAGAAATGTCTAAAAATATATTTTTGAAAATTTTATCAGATAAAATATAAAACACAAATTATTTATAAAACATTGTAAGCTAGATGAAACATACAATTTATCTCATATACATTAAATATTTATCATTTATTGAAACTAACAAAAAAGTTCACATTGAATGTTTCATTTTTTAAAACATCAAATCAAAAGATCATTTCGAAACTCACAAATCTATTAAAGAGAATAATCATGTTTTTCATTAGAACTAAATCCCTGAAATCATGGAGAAAAATAAATAAAGTCATTGTTATAGTTGGTCTACGTTGACATTGCTTCTACAAACTCTGTTTGATACGAAAAGTTAATAAGTGACCTTATTGATCAGATGAGAGATATTATTTGGTGAAATGCATTTAATACTCGCATTAAATGAGACAAACAGTCACCTATCATCACAAAAAAAAATGATGAAGATAGATGAAGCAAACGAGCTGGACTTAAAGTGTTGCAACAGTGAGTCACTATATAAGAAGTTTCAAAATACAAGAAAGACAAAGAATTTTACATAGATACATTTGTATAGAAACCCACTTTCTGTAAATCTATTCTTTCTTGTAAACATTCATTGTTATGTAAGTGGTTGTATAGCATCTTAATGAGACGAACACAACATCTATGTAACCTTCATAACCATTGTTATAAGGTTGAACTTTGAGAGATTTTTCTGAAAAATAATACTTGTTATTAAGCCTAAAGAGGTTTGATTGAAAAAGACTACTTGTTTTTGAACTTGGAGAGATTTGACTAAAAAAGAATACTTAATTGTTAAGTATACTTTTGGTTCTTTATCTTATTTTTAAAATTTATTTTAGTCCTTTATTTTTTAAAATGTTCATTTTAAATCTTTATTTCCTAATTTTGAGTCAATTTGATCCTTTTGAAACAATGATTATTTCACTTTTGAGCATAGTTTTAAAAATCGGATCGATCATCAAACCAGTTAGGATACTAGATCAATAGGTTAAATGTTGAATCGGTGAGTCACTAATTGAACCGTATGACCCGATTTCTATTAATATTTTAAAAAAAATATTCATGTTGAATATATTTTATACTTGTAAATCTTAATAAATTCATATCGTATCTTAAATTTCAATTTCCATCTTAATTTAAAATTATCTTTATCTTTATTTTGTATAAAGAAATACATGAAAAAGTTGTATGTTAAACCGTATATTAATACAAATTAATATATATATATATATATATATAATATACTTGTAATTGATATCACAAAATAATATATGTAAAATCTACCTATATATTATATTATTAAATATAATTTAAAATTAATAATATACTATAAAAGTTATTTAAGTTGCATATATTACAAACAAATACATTAGAATAAGTGGTTATTGTAATGTTTAATAAGGCTCATCCCTTTCCCATGAGCCAATTCGAGCCGATTTTTAAAACACAATTTTAAGTCATTTTTTGACTATTTTAAAACTCGTCTCATTAGATTCAATTACATAAAAAAAAACCTATTGAAAATCAATACAATTCAAGCCAAAAACTATCATATACAGAGTAAAAATCACATAAAAATAAGTCTAAAAAATAATTTAAAAATTTAAAAATCTAATTTCACGTTATTTTCTAATAGTTTGTGGGATGAATTTTTCACATAATTTTCACTATATTTATAATTATTTTGAATTCAAACGTTGTACCAACCTGACTCGAGCCGAGCTTAGCCGAGTCCACGAGTTAACTTGACCGAGGTGACCTCTTAGACAAGCTGAAATAAAATCATGAAACGCTGACATGTCACAGGAGATATCAGTAAGACACCTCGGCAGGTTAACAACGTCAAGGACAATAACCACCTTCAGAAAATAACCATATAGCAGTTACACGGTTACTCGGAAAACCACCACAGGTAATGATATAAGCAATATGTGAAACTAGATACGTCAACTAACTTGATCGTCGAAGTCCTTTTTGCATGTACATCCGAGACACTCGAGCAAGGAAACCGGAGAGAAGGAACTCAACCTATTGACCGATCTCACACAACCTCGGCTGAATCCAACCAGGAAGACGACTTATCCGAGTTAGGGATCCGACCTGATTCGTGTAAGTACATTTGGCGCTAGAAGGAGGGTCTGGTAAAACTTTTCCTCCTTCACCCTTATGGTTTCAACCCGAAGTCAGACCAATAGAGCAACAAGTGCAACGAGTGTACCACGTTCAAGCACACCGAACATGGAAGATAATCCAACCCTTCGACGGTTACTTGAACAGATAGAACTAATGCAACGACAACACGCAGCCGCAATGGAGAATCTACGTAAATAGCACGAAGCCGATCTGCAACAGTTACGTGCTGAGCAGGCCGGATTCCGAGCACAATGGCAGCAAAATCAACCACCGCCATATACTCATCATGCTAGCCATGTTCCACCTACGGCAGAAGAACATCAGTCTTCTCCCGATCCTACATACCCAGCAGAACCCACTCACACTCACACTCACCGAATATGATCCACATTCCACTCAACGACACCCATTTGTTGATGGAATAATGGAAGTCCCTCTCCCACCCACTTGGAAACCGTTGAACATAGATAGATATGACGGAACCACAGATCCCGATGAGCACATCGATGCATATGTTACCCAGATCAACCTTTATACGAATGACGATGCCATCATGTGTCGGGTATTCCCAACTTCACTCAAGGGGGCTGCCCTGAGTTGGTACACACAACTACCACTCAGATCCGTAAATAATTTTGATACTCTGGTTCGTTTTTTGTCTGCCCAATATGCCACCAGCAGACCTCATCATATCACCTCAGCAACGTTGTCTAATCTGCGACAATAGGATGATGAATCCCTCAGGCATTTTATGGAGTGATTCGCCAATGTTTCCATCAAAATTCGAAACCTCAATCCAGAAGTCGCCCTCCATTCCATGTTGATGGCCCTCAAACCTGGACCCTTTGTTGACAGTCTTTGCCGACATCAACCAGCCAGCATGGACGAACTGAGAGCGCGCGCTGCCGGTTACATCCAAATGGAAGAGCATGCTGAGTTCTGTAATAATATCCGGGATGGCCTTGCCGTCAAGGGCGAGTCCAGTAGTAAGGAGAAGCAAAAGAGTCACTTCGATCAAAGATCCAAGAGACCTCGTCAAGCACGAGGTCCCAGGTGTGATTTTTACACACCCCTTAATGCTCTGCACGTTAATATTTTAGAAGAATCTAATCATGCAGATCTAATCTCCTTACCTCCCCCGGCGTACAACTCGGCCAATGCCGACAAGAGCAAACATTGTCGATATCACCGAAACCATGGACACACAACGGAGGAATGTTGGAGCCTCAAAGACAAAATCGAAGAACTGATTCAGGCTGGTCACCTTGGCCAATATGTCCAACGTGGTCAAGCTTCCCGCGGGGGGTTCCGAGGACGCGGCAGAGGGCGAGGACGATATTCAAACCGATATCAAGGACGCTCCCAAAGTTACCAAGGCCGATTTGAGCAAGGTAACTATCAACAAGCACCCATACACGAAGAAAACAAACCCAGCGCAAATAGTGCTAATCCACAGCATGGGGAAAAATCCTCTGCCGATAATAACCTGCAAGGAGTCATTAATACCATTGCGGGGGGCTTAGCCGGAGGTGAAAGTTCTAACTCCGCCAGAAAGCGGCACCTACGCAACGTTCACAACATCAATGATCACCACAACTCGGACACCAAAACGAGTCCATCAACTCCTCCCATTGTCTTCACCGATGATGATTATGAAGGCATAAGTCTAAACCAAGACGATCCCATGGTCATCTCAGTCGAAGTGGCTAACTGGGAAGTTTAGAAAACATTGATTGACCACGGTAGTTCTGCCGATGTGCTGTATTGGCCTACTTTCTTGAAGCTTGACATCCCTCATAATATGACCCAACCATATTCCGAGCCTCTCGTCGGTTTCGCAGGGGAGCGAGTTCATACTCGTGGTTTCATTGAATTGCTAACCTCTTTTGGTACAACTCAGAATTCAAAGAGAGTGCTGGTGAAATATTTGTTAGTTGATGTCGTCACCTCCTACAATATTTTCATTGGGAGACCAACATTAAATCAGTTAGGAGCAATTGTGTCAACACCCCATTTGACTATGAAATTCCCGGGCACAGACGGACGTATAATAACTATCAAAGCTAATCAGCAAATAGCAAGGAGATGTTATGCCAAGAGCTTAAGGATTGCCCCTACCAGTCTTCAACCCGAGAAGTCAAATTCTTCTGTAGTAGCCCATCTCGGAACAAGGGAAATGGCTGACCTGGATCCCCGAGTTGACATGCATGACCACCGACCTAGCCCTGTTGACGAACTAATTGAATTCCAGATTGGAAAAATGCCAGGACAGTGCACCAAAATCGGAAAACACATTGAAGTCGATCTCCGAGGTAGAATCATGTCAATTCTCACTGAAAATGCTGATCTCTTTGCATGGAGTAGTGCAGATATGCCAAGGATAGATCCCAACTTTATTTGCCACAAATTAGCTATTTACAAGGAAGCAAAGCCAGTGTCCCAAAAGAAGAGAAAGATTGGCGGTGAAAGAAGAGAAGTTGTTAAAGTTGAGACTCAAAAACTGTTAAGTGCAGGGTTCATTAGAGAAATTAAGTATACCACTTGGTTAGCCAATGTCGCGATGGTTAAAAAGTCCAATGGCAAGTGGCGTATGTGTGTTGACTATATAGATTTAAACAAAGCTTGTCCGAAAGATGCATACACCTTACCCAACATTGACAGATTGGTTGATGGAGCTTCCGGCTATGCTATGCTTAGTTTCCTAGATGTTTACTCCGGCTATAATCAGATTTTAATGTACCCCCAGATGAAGAGTACACTGCATTTATCACAGAACAAGCCAACTACTGTTATCATGTCATGCCATTTGGACTCAAAAATGCGGGAGCAACATACCAAAGGCTAATGGACAAAGTCTTCGCGGAACAAATTGGCCGTAATCTGGAGGTTTATGTTGACGACATGGTCATCAAAACGAAGTCAGCCAACGATCACGTCCGAGATCTAGAAGAAATCTTCCAGCAAGTCAGAAGGTATAACATGAGACTAAATCCTGAGAAATGTGTTTTTGGAGTCCAAGGTGGGAAGTTTTTAGGATTCATGATTACTTGTCGGGGGATAGAGGCAAATCCAGATAAGTGTCAGACATTGATTAACATGAGAAGTCCCCAGAACCACAAAGAGGTACAAAGATTGGCGGGCAGGCTCGCTTCTCTCTCTCGGTTCATTCCCAAGATGGCAGAAAAGGCCAAACCCATTTTTAACCTGTTAAAGAAACCAAAGAATTTCGTTTGGGATGACCGATGTGAGCAAGCATTTTCAGACTTCAAAATATTTTTATCTGCACCCCCCATCCTGACTAAACCTCAGAGTCACGCCGACCTCTTGCTATACCTCGCCATGGCCGACAATGCAATTAGTGCAGCCCTTATGCAGAATGACGGTAAAAAGCAAATTCCTATTTACTTTATTAGCCGTGTTTTGAAAGACACCGAGAAGAGGTACCAAACCATTGAGAAGTTGGTCCTTGCGCTAGTAACTTCAGCTCGGCGACTTCGGCCCTATTTTCAAAGTCATCAGATTGTGGTAAAAACCGACTATCCCATCAAGCAGATACTTCGAAAGCCTGATCTCGCAGGTCGGATGACAGCTTGGTCAATCGAGCTGTCCGAATATGGAATCAAATATGAAAGTCGAGGAGCGCTAAAAGCCCAATGTCTTGCTGATTTCATTGTCGAGCTGACACCCAGCATTCCTACGGAAGAGCAATCCTGGATTTTACATATTGATGGATCATCCAATACAAAAGGTAGTGGTGCAGGTATTATTCTTGAGGGTCCTAATGAGATGATGCTTGAACTTGCAATCAAATTTGATTTCAAAGCTACTAATAACCAAGCCGAATATGAGGCTTTGCTTGCAGGTTTGAGATTGGCCAGAGATATCGGTGTCAAAAAGCTTCGATGTTGTAGTGATTCCAAGTTGATCACAGAGCAAGTCGGAGGAAGTTATCAAACGAAGGAACCACAACTCCAAAAGTATAACCTTCTAGTATCTCATTTGAGTTCTTCCTTTGACAACTTCCAGATGGAACATATCCCAAGGGCCCAAAATGTTAGAGCTAATCTGCTGTCAAAACTAGCCAGTACTAAACGTCCCGGACAACACAAAACAATTATCCAAGAGACAATTAGTGCACTTAGCTATAATTTTGTAGTAGTGTCAACTAACTACCTCGGTCAACCAAGCTGGATGTCAAACATTTGGCAATATCTTACAAGCGGTACTTTACTGGAAGATAAAGCTGAAGCCTCAAAAATCAAACTCAAATCTTGTCATTTCACAATTGAAGCTGGAGAGTTGTTCAAAAGGGGATTCTCAGTACCCCTTTTAAAATGCCTTAACTCGGATCAAGCTGGGTATGTAATGGACGAGATCCATCGGGGTATATGTGGTATGCACTCGGGAACTCGGTCCATGGCTGCTAGGGTGATCCGAGTTGGCTACTACTGGCCAACTATGAGATTAGATTGTAAAACATATGTACAAAAATGCGAAGCTTGTCAAAAATTTGGCAACCTACACCAGTTACCTGCAACAGCCCTACACTCCATGCAATCAACATGGCCTTTTGCATGGTGAGGCATGGACATACTCGGTCCTTTCCCAGTTGCCAAAGGTCAATTAAAATTTTTAATTGTGGGGATTGATTACTTCACAAAGTGGATTGAAGCTGAGCCTTTAGCGCGAATTACAGCGACTAATGTGTAGCGTTTTACGTGGAAGAAAATCATTTGCAGGTATGGAATACCTCAAGCAATCACCACAGATAATGGCAAGCAATTTGTAGACAAAATTTTTGAGCAATTCCTGATGCAACTCGGCATCAAACACAAAGTCACCTCAGTAGAACACCCACAAACAAATGGCCAAGCCGAGGCAACAAATAAAGTGATTCTCCGTGAACTTAAGAAGAGGCTAGGATCTTCCAAAGGAGAATGGGTTGAAGAGTTACCTAGTGTCCTGTGGGCATACCATTGCACACCACAGACCACCACTCAAGAGACTCCCAATAAGTTGACATATGGTTCAGATGCAATGATACCCCTTGAAGTTGGTGAGCCAAGTCACAGAAGATTAACGTTTACTGAGTCCCAGAACGGAGAACAACTGAGCTTGGACAGAGATTTACTAGACGAAACAAGGGAACACGCCAGGGTGCAAGAAAAAACATGTAAACTTTGAGCATCACGGAGGTACAACTCCAAGCTCAAACCGAGATCTTTCCATGAAGGAGATCTCGTCTGGAGAGCCATAGGTGACGCTAGGAAAGATGCATCAGCAGGAAGGTCCTTTTCGCATCTTAGAATGCCTACAAAATGGAGCGTATAGATTGACAGAACTCAGTGGCAAAGTTCTCCCTAGAACTTGGAACGCCACCCATCTGAAATTTTATTTCAGTTAAATGCATGTAAACCCAGGTGTTGTACTCTTTTTCCTACTTCAGTCTTTTTTCCCAACAAAAAAAAGGGTTTTGGCTGAAGAGGTTTTAATGAGTCACACTTGAGGTCAGCAAGAGAGATGTAATGCACACATAACTTCATACTCAATATTACAAGTTCTCTCTTCTTGCAATTTGATTTCTTCTCTTTTACATAAATTTAATTTTTCCCTTGTTCCTTAATCTGATTCTTCCTTCTTGGCCAAATCTGAGCCAATGTTAAGAAACTCGTCCAAGTCTAAGCCGATATTCAATTTGACTTGAAACATGGCCAAGTTTGAGCCAATGTTAATAAACTCGTTCAACTTTGGGCCGATGTTAATTTTAAGTTGAAACTTGGCCAAATCTGAGCCAATGTTAATAACATCGTCCAAATCTGAGTCGATGTTAATTCTGGTCTGAATAATTTAGCCAAGTTTGAACAATAATTTAGCCAAGTTTGAGCAATAATTTAGCCAAGTTTGAGCAATAATTTAGCCAAGTTTGCGCCATAATTCAACCTAGTTCGAACAAAATTTATTCTTCATTCATAATACTACTATTACTAAATTTGGGTCAATTCCATTCGCGGCGCAACACGGCCAAGTTAAAGCTGATTTCATCCTATTAAGGTAAACCAGTTCCGTTCGAATATCTATACAGCAATTTTAAGCATGATACCGTAATTAATTAAAACTTTCAGAAAAATATCCAGTACATTAGAAAAATTATCAAAAGTTTAGCCTATAAAGGCAATAGTAAATTAGAATCCTAAGTACAAATCATACTACTATGTTGTAAACAAATACAATTAGTCATTGATTTCTTCACTGCTCATATCATCCGGGATATCATCTTCGTTAACCAATTTCCCCTCAAAGACATCTTTGTTGATGTGAATTTCTTTCAAATCAATGCTCGGGGCAATACACTTCACTTGTCGTAAGGCTTTAGAAAACCCCTTCTTATGCTCTACGACTACTTCATATTCGGTAGCCTCCATCTCTTTCTTCAACTTTTTGTTTTCATTTTCTATTTCTTGGATCTTCCTCACATTAGCAGCGATAACTTCCTGACAGGCTTTATTCTTCTTGTAAAGCTCCACCATCTCGTCTTTCAAGCTTTGCACATTCCCCTCATGGTCCTTTGCTTTCTTTTCTAGCATCTTCACAGTCTCTGCTTGAACTTCTTTTTCTTTTTCTAACAAACTCACCTTCTTCAAAAGGTCCTCCACCTTAGCCGCATATGTCTTATTCGACCTCACAGAAATCTCAAATGCCTTTGAGTTTTCCTCCAATTTTTTCTTTAAACTACCAACCTCAACATTTAATGACCCAACCTGGGCATTCTCGGTCCTCAGCTTAGACATCAGTGCAACATTTTTATCCCACTTTTTCTTCCAATGATCTACCACAGCGATAGATCTTTGTAAAAACACTTGCACGAAATCTAAACCTTGGACAGGACCAACCTTTTTAATCAAAGCCTTATCAGCGATATAGGCTGGATCTTCCTTATAAAAAGCTTCTGCAGTCAACTCCGCATTCTAGAAGGAAATCACATCGGGTGACATACTTACATGATCCAACCTCACCAGAGGATGCTTCGTATCATATCTCTGATGTAATGATCTCGGGCGGTTATTTGGTCCAGATTGGGACGACCTCCCTTGTGAAGTCGGCGAATTAAAGCCGAGTTGAGCAATTGACGCCTCCAAATTTGACACCAAATGTTCTGAAGATTTAGGAACTTGTGCATTTGCCAGCTTCAAAAAACAAATTCACACGACAAATTTGAAATCAGAACAATCAACATAATTACATAGTATTTAGTAATGATGAGACATATACCTTTTCTTTTTTCAAATCACAAGCAGAATTTCTCTCAACTTGCTTCTGAATGGTATCTTCTTTTTCCAAATCAATCACAACCTCCGAGTTCGTCATTTCTTTTGCAACTTCCTTCCTCGGCATACTTGAATTACCGACATGGTCGACGATCTTAGGTCCCTTATTATGAAGGTTTTCGCCCTCTATCTTTTGCTTCTTCACTTTTTGCTTAGGAACCGCAGCGTCCGGGATCTCTTCGATGTTAAATTTCCCCTTTAGCTCGCGCCATTTGCTCCTTCCCATGATCTCTGCACATCACAGTAATCAATAACATATTCAATCACACAACTTTAATTACATATAACTATTATTATTACTTACTCTCTAAGTCATCTTGTGGATTTTGGGATCTCGCAAGCATTAAAATAGTTTTGCTCTCTAATGCCCGAGCTAGCTTTTCCAACTTTTTTATATCTTCTTTCTCGTTGGGTGACAACACCAACCCCTCTGATCTCGAGAACCTCACAGGTTTTGATTGCCAACATAGAGGAAATTTTGGTTCCCCATTCCAGTGGAAAATTGGATCCGAACTCGGATTTTTATGAGACGATTGCACTTTGAAAAACTCTTCTTTAAAGTTCTTGTATGATTGTGCAAAAATTTGAAATAAACCCCCATGCGAACTTCCACTCAAAGACACCCACCCATACGGTGGTTCCCCCAATTTTATTTGATAAAAGTGCATAAATATTCCTAAACTCGACTCTATCCCCATTACTGCACATAAAATTTGGAACGCACGTACGAAACCCCAACTATTAGGATGTAATTGACTAGGAGCTACATTTATCTTTTTCAGCAACTCACACTCGAATGGGGTAAACGGAAACGTCACACCTAAATCCCTACACAGGCATTGATACATATATATGTACGGAGGAGTAGTAGCCACTTTAAAAAACACCCGTTCCTCCGGTGCACAGGGTTCAATAGAAAGTTGTTCTAGATATGGAGGCAGACAAAATTTCAAGTTGTGCTGTAATACACTAGCCTCCATTTCGCCACTAATCCTACTTTCGTATTTTCCTACATCTCCCCTCACCCATTCGTAACCAGTGGCAAGGATTTTTGGGTGGGAGTCTTTTCTGTTGTTCCCCCCTCTCTTTTGAACACTTGCCTCTTTCCCCTTGCCCCCAACGATTGTCTCTTTCCCCTTACCCATTTCAACCCCAATTACAACACAAAGATCGAGAGATAATGCTTGATACCTGGAAATGCTATGCTCCCCGCAATCCCCTGTTCTTCACGACTGACCTTCCTCACTTTGAATATGGCGGATGTTACACAACACTTTCCTCTGATAAACTTATAATTATCGACACCTTCAACACGCTGAAAACTTTACTTATATATACACGCTGAAAATCTTTTCGTTGCCTTCTTGAGCATTGCGCCTCTTCAACACGACGTTTCGCGCCCCTCCACGTCTATCGCCTTAAATGCTCTACACCGAAACGCTCAACAATAATGATTGAGAGCCGTACCTGCTCACGTTCCCCCATAATAGAGTTGTTGAACTCATAAAGTTACGCCTTTTCAAACCTTACACGTGTCTCTTTCGTAACGTTGTGGCTCTTTACACCTCCTTTTCAACTTTATTGGCAAATGTCTTTCTTTTCCTCAGCTCTTTCATTCTTACATCACTCAGAGCTTGGGGGGCTTATGTACCAACCTGACTTGAGCCGAGCTTAGCCGAGTCCACGAGTTAACTTGACCGAGGTGACCTCTTAGACAAGCTGAAATAAAACCATGAAACGCTGACATGTCACAGGAGATATCAGTAAGACACCTCGGCAGGTTGACAACGTCAAGGACAATTCAACCACCTTCAGAAAATAACCATATAGCAGTTACACGGTTACTCGGAAAACCACCACAGGTAATGATATAAGCAATATGTGAAATTAGATACGCCAACTAACTTGATCGTTAGAGTCCTTTTTGCAGGTACATCCGAGACGCTCGAGCAAGGAAACCGGAGAGAAGGAACTCAACCTATTGACCGATCTCACACAACCTCGGCTGAATCCAACCAGGAAGACGACTTATCCAAGTTAGGAATCCGACCTGATTCGTGTAAGTACAAACGTTAATTCAATTTTATGATTTTCATATAAATGAATCCAATACTATAAGTTTCACATCTTGAATCAAATAAAAATTAATTCAAAATCACGTATTAAAGTTGAAAATGATCATCATTTTAAAAGATCAAGAACCATAATGAACATTTTTAATAAATAAAAAATTAAAATAAATCTAAAAATATAAGATAAAAGATATATATATATAATTTATCTTAAAAAGAATATAAACAAACTATGATAATCACGTGAATGATTAGTCATTTATCGAAATGATAACTACCAATTACCTACTTCTTAAGAAAAACCACGAGGATGTGTAGTCTTATCCTTGTTGAATTGCAATATATAACTGTGCTCAAATTCAAATCGTCTTCCATTTGGCATCAAATCATTTTAAGTTGTACGCGCTTAGGCATACCTTATCCATTCAATATGACTAAATTAGTCTTTAGTGTTGAGTTTAGTTTCAATAGATTTTAATACAAGTTTTAAGTATGGGTCAGTATATATATAGTGTTTGGGGAAAACAAAAAGTTAATTAAGATGCATTCTTTGTTTATACAAAGTGTAAAGCTTACACTATTGATGTGTAACCTATTTTCTAAAAAAATAATTAATACAACATATATTTTAAATTAATTTGTTCTTACAAAAAAATCAGAAAACACTTTGATTTTAGTCTTATAAAGAATAAGAATATATAAGAGACTTGTAATTAGGTGACTCATCTAAGAACTACAAGAATTCTTGTGAAATATTAAAGGTAGAGATAGCCTTGTATACACTTGA